ACGCAGGGTGCAAACCAGTTTTATTTGGGACAGGCCCAGGGTATCTGGAGGCCTTATAATTTTATTTTGGGCCGCTTATGCATTATTTTATTATTGCTTTATTATATGTGAACATTTTCAGGCTAGTTATAAATTATATTTGAAATTTAATTTAAAATTTTTTGGATATAACTCTTTAGACTAATACTTATCCATATGGTCAAAAATCTATACTTAGTATTTAACTTGATAAGTATTACGAAATTTGTGGGTATATACTTGTATAGTTAATATAAGAAAAAAATAAACTTTATATCATGTATTATGTGTTCGACTTAAAATTTGTTATTTATCCGAGTTACTATTGCTACATATGTGATTTTTTTGGCTTAGGGATTATTTTTGTATTTTTATGATTTTTAATTTTAAAAGTTATTATTATCATGTAGATACAATGTATAATAAGTGTACATAAAATTTCAATATTTATATAATTATAGGTAGTAGGTCAATTAAATAACTCAATTTTAAACATATTAAGGGTTTGTTTGGTATAGTGGATAAAATTTAACGGATAGTGGATAACAAGTAGCGGGTAGCGAATAGTGGTAGCGGGTAGCGAATAGCGGTAGTGGATAGTGGGTGGCGGTTAGTGGATAGCGGATGACAGATAGCGGAAAATGGGTAACGGATGGTAAATAACGGATTCGATAAATATAATTGTTTGGTTATATAATAGTTAGCGGTTATTGTTTAATATTAAATGACTAATAAGGACATGTTTAAAAACAAATAAGTGTATTTTTTAAAATTTTTATTTTTTATATAAATTAATTATAAAAAATTATATTTGTCACACTTTTAATTTATATATTTAAAATAAAAATTAGAGGAACACTATATTAATTTTAACATCAAAGTTCATGCAAGGGAAGGAAGTTCGATTTGGTTGGATGGTATCATCAATTCTTTTCTTTCAAAAATAAAATAAATAAAATTGTTAGCAAATCATTTTAATCAAAAGAGTAACGTCCTAGTGGCAAAAGTCACAGAAAATCTTCTTGAAGTCATGTGTTCAAGCCCTCGGGGGTAGCAAATTTAAGGTAAATCCTCCAAAGGATTTAAACCGTTTGGTTGAATAGTTTTTCGATTTGTATCAGTTTGAATGGTTCAATCACTCTATCGGTTTTAAATGTTGACCTGATCCGTTTTTAATATTAGGTATTGGTCCAATCAATTCAATCGATCCGTCTGGTCTGATTTTTAAAACAATGCTGGACACTATAAAATTATCTAGAAGTCTCATTTTTCAAAAAGTAAATATATAGCTAAAAGACATAAGAGACCAACTTGACACTAAACCAAACAAGAAAATCCAAAGTTTTCTACACCAACTTCAAACGGATAAGTACATGGGACACAAAATAAGAGAAATTTTTTATATAACAAGATATTACATTAGTGATATTTTTATTATTAATGTAACGATATATTAATATATGTACTCTCTATTTA